CATTAGCGCAATGACCAATGGGGAACATCCAACTCTCGCCCATCTGACCAATGGTCTAACATTATCTCTCCGTCATACAGCATTCAACTGACAAATGGTGTAACTTGGTCACTTGCTCACTCAGTCAATCATTCAGTCAGTGACATTTGCCTTCATAGGGCTGGCCCGAATGTTGTGTTCTAGCCAATAAGTAGACCATCTAGTTCAGCAAGTTCTGTAGCTTGATGTCTGTACCTAGTTATCCGTTAAATTAAAAACAGGCTGTGAACTTATTAATTGAGTTGATATGATGCACGCACATATTCAAACACGGTATAACATGAGAATGACTTTTGGCAAAGATAACAAGTTTCTTTACATGTGTACGTGAACAATAAAGATGAGAACAGAACAGTTGATCTAAATAATAATAACTATTTTATGATATGAACAACAATACATTTTATTCTTCATCTCATTTTACAATAATGTTTTAATATGTTTCTATGTTCATTTTATGGGTTTTTCAAGTGAAGTACTTGGTGCATGTAATTTCTTTGTTGCAAAGCACTTGGAGCTGAACTTCTTGCTATGAAAATAAAAATAAAGATTATTATTATCAGTAATAGTAGTTGTAGTAGTAGTAGTATTATAAAAGAAGATTAAGAAAATGGCTGGAATGTTTTCCATTAAATTGACAGAAGACCAATAGGGTTTAACTTCTGTTAACTCAACCATATTCATATACACTGGATAGAAGGTTGTGATTGGGTAAGTGCATCTGACAGAACAATGAGGTATTGTGATCTAAAAAGTATTTGTCATATCAATATGGATTTAGACATAAAATTTTTTGTTGTAACATGGAATTAGTTTCGCCTTATGTAGAAGAACTGGGAAGGGCACATAAATTAAATGCTGTTAATGGGAGAGGTTTTTTCCTGCGAATCTTCTGCACTGTATATATAGCACAGATTGGCAGTATCCAGTGTTCAGACTCACAGAGAAAACAAGAGAAAACTGGACAGCAGACAGGTATGGAGGCAAGATAATACTCACTGAAGTTAATATAAAGGGATATAATTACTTTGGGCTGTAAAATTTCTCTTGTGAGTTTCTCTCATCAGTCTCATTAAACAGCTGAAGTTCAGACTGTCTCAAAAACTAGATGGAAAATAAGATTATTCTCCTTGCTTGCACTAAATAATTGCCACATTTCAAGTTTATTTTCTCTCCCTCTGTCTCCATTCCTGACCACCACGGTCTCTATCCCATAAATTTTGGAAGCAGAAAAGCCTGGGGCATCAGCAGTCTAATGGAGATGACTACATCCACAGCTAAATCAGAGATCCAAGAGATCTACAACCAGCAGGGCTTTCTCTCAACACTGCCTGTATTGGACGAGATGGAGCTGAAGGAAGCCAGGCATGCCTTTTCTGAACTGGAGAGGGAATTCGGTAAGTACCACCAGAAGATACAGGAGAATGATGATGAAGAGGGCAGGAATGACTTGGATAAACTTGGATAAAATGAATGTGGATAAAATGGATAAAACTTGGATAACTTGGATAAAACTTGAATAAAATGAATGTGGTTTTTTGCTCAGTATAGACAATGAGTCTAATTCATGTCTGAACAGTACATCTGTATACATCAGCTTTTTGTTACACTTAAAAATGAATATAATGAGGCGTATTATGAGAGAGATTATGGACACATTACATGTGTGTATCCTCAGGTAAAGAGTACACCCAGTACAGCCTCCACAATGTTCACCTTCAGCATCCGTGGGTGATGGGTTTGGCCAAACACCCTCAAATCATGCGAGTGGTCAGAGCTATCCTGGGCCCCGACGTCATCCTGCTGGACTCCCGCTTCATCTGCAAATACCCAGCACTCAAACCAGCCAACATCCAGGAGAACGAAGAAGGTGAAACCAACCCCGATGGGAGTATTGGAGAGAATGAACTTCCATACGTGGCCTGGCATCAGGATATGAGGTAGATTTTAGATACTGAAAAAAACACTGGAAGGTTTTGTTTTGCATCATTTTGTTTTCTAACTGTAATTGTTGCGTTCACAGGTACTGGGGTATTGCTGGCGGCCCTGTTCTCTCTGTGTGGCTCGCTTTCGATGACTCACTGAAAGAGAACGGAGCCCTTCGGGTCATCCCAGGTACCTCAGCTGCTCATTTATGCTTCTCTTGCACATTTATCCCTTTTGCAACTGTCCTGGTGAAACGTTAAAGAAAAGTGTTACCTTATTTTCCATCATGTGTGGAATAACAACACTAGATTTACTTCATGAAATCAACAACCTGTTTCACAGAGTTGAGCCTTTTGTTCTTTGTGTGCCTGAAGGCAGCCACTGCTCTGGGATGTTGCCTCATCGTCAAGCCATCCGCCCTGGAAACATGCTGTCAGTCAACCAGGAAATCCCAGAGGAGCTGGTGCAGGCTGATGAAGCTGTGTTTTGCCCTCTCTTGGCTGGGCAGATGTCTGTGAGTTCAATTGTTTGTTAAAGTTCACAGGGTTACAAATAATTTAAATATACACATCAAGTATAATACAAGCTGTATGATTTCTGATTTTGATTTTCTTTTTATAAGATCCATGATGGACTCCTTGTCCATGCCAGTGATGCCAACACATCCCAGAGGAGGCGCTGTGGATTTGTGATCCGATATGTTCCCACCTGTGCTTACCCCATACAGGTGAGACAAACATAACAATACATTAATTCCTGTATTTCTGCAGGTAATCATTTTATAGTCTCTGACTTGTGTAGGTTATTGATCCCGACTCTTTCTGTTCCTGATAGGATCCTGATCGTCCCAGGAAATTTCATGCCACAATTTTGGCCTGTGGAACCGATCAGTACAATCATTTCTCAGGCAAAAGTCTGTGAAAACATCCTGAATTTGTTCTACATGCAACAACAATTACTTCCACATTTTACAGGAATGCATCTATGAAAATCTCTACTTATTTACAAAATATAATAACTGACATCATCATTTTCTGCCACATGCGTGTGCACAATCATTGACAAATCTCAGGGAATCTGGTTTCCACTTCACCTAAATTTTGCAGTTGTTGTTGTTGTTGCAAATGTATAAAATACAGAACAGTATAATCAAGCTTAATTACTGTAATCATTCATGACGTGATGTGTATTGTGTATGTGTATACATGATGTGTATTAAACAGTCAAAATCTAGCACAATGTGTGACAACAACTCAATCTTTCCTCTTCTGGTCTTTAATCAGTTATGGATACTTATGGGGAAAATGTTTTACATCATCCAACGTTTTTTTACATTTATGTCCTGTATTGCAACCCATGACCATTCATGCATAAGACAGACACAGTTTTCATTCAACATAAGGAGTCCTATCAAAATAATTTTAGTGAATAGTCAAACGGGGAAATAAAACTCATAAAAAATATAAACCTGCCTGTCTATACAGGTACGTTTCTAAAATCTTAAAGAAAATTGGAACTAATTTAATTAATCTAGTTCTGATTGGAAGTTTGTTTCATTGTTGAAAAATCATCATTCAAGTTTGTCTTAAGTCTGCATGTTACTTTTAACAACGTTTGGTTGCCAGAGTTCAGGGATCAGTGATGAATAATGAGTTTAAATATCAGAAATATCATGGAAATTAAGTCAGTTTAACAAAACACAGTGCAGGCATGTCTTTTATTGTGATGCATTAGCTATGTTGAGCAAGTTTCAAGGGGGTAGTAAAAACCTAAATTAAAAATTACACAGTGTTGCCTCACAGAGGCAATGGTTAAATGAATTAATATTCTATTGCACACCTGAAAAGATCCTGTGAAAGACAGCAATGTATGAAAAAATGGGCTTCTTTCCTGGCCTTAGTTCCAGCATTGAATCCTCTTGGCGAGTGAATTGATAGGGGCCCTTATCCCCCGTGACTGTGCTTCTCCTGTCAGCTTGATGCTGTTATACCTCAACACACAATGATACCTCATGCCTTTCCTGATTGACTTTTATATTTATGTTCTCTATTTTTCTTTTGTGAACAAGAAAAATCTTGTCCTGTTCTTGTCTGTCTTCCCTTTTGTGGTCTTGTTAATGCAAAATGATTTATATGCATCAATAAAAACATCTTTATAAAAAATTACATATGCCACTTGTGTGAATTGGGAAATTATTTTCAGTACTGTCAGAATATAGCACATAGGATTAACTAGGCTGATTGTACAAACTCACTGCTATGATCCCACAATACGAGAGTAGTGAGATGTCAATTTATTGTTGTTGTTTCAATAATATGGTTTTTCAAAGGCCAGATTGAAAATTGTCAAATTTGTTGTTCCCATCCATCCAAGTGTTGAGCAGCAACTACCTTTTAAACCAAGGGTAATTTGCATATAGGATGGTGGCATGTCAGATTTAGACTGAAGGCTCAGGGAAAGGTAGATATAAAACAGCAGCAGTAATTTATGACTTTTTAGAAATGTTTTTTATTGAATAAAAAAAAGCTGTGTGTGTGTGTGTGTGTGTGTGTGTGAGTGTGTGTGTGTGTGTGTGTGTGTGTGTGTCATCATGGTAAAATTGGGTCCTGGAAAGCAGGAACTACCACAAAAGTAGATCTGAGTAATCATATAATAATGCAGTAATAATGTAGTAACGACTACAGAGTGTTCATGAACCTACAATCTACAATCTACAAGCCTATAATCAGTGATGTTCCAAAGTCTGATATGCAAAGATTTGGTGGGTATACATGAATGTGTATCACCCCTTCACGTGCTGCTTTTGGTGCCTGATGTTGAGGCGGACCTTTCTCTGGACAAAGGCAACAATACCATACAGGGACATTTGAGTTGGCTTTGAAATCATAAAAAAACACTGTCCAAACACAAAAGCACATGTACTGTATGTGAGAACCCATTTCTACCCATATGTAGTGTATTTATGTTGCAGATTTTGCTTTTGCGATTTTCATTTTAGTCTTTGTAAAAACTGATAATGCTGTAATTTGCTCATTGACTCAACTTTTATTAAACACTGATTATGACATTGACAATATAACATCAGTGGACTGGTCAGTGAAGGTGAGATGAATTTAAGAGATACCACAGCTTGATAACCAGTACTTGTAAAGTAAAAACAGAAAATTGGCTTTGAAGTAATTAAATACAAACATAAGCAATCAACCAATGTCAGCAGGGATTGAATGTGGCAAATGAATTCATTAACAGAAGCACACAGTATGAAATTAAGACTTCTTAAGCCAGTTCCAGTGTCTCTTTAACCAAGACACCTACTCCATCAAAAACCTGATGAACTGGAGCATTGCACATGAAGGCACAGGTGGTGACCAGCTTGTTTTTGACATCAACATGAGCTTCTCCCACATCCTTGTTCACATGTTTGCAGCCCATCTCCTTTAGAGCACCTGCTGTCTTAGCATACGGCCACCTGAAGAGGACAACAGAGAGACACAACTGTAGAATACATTTTTTTATGTATATATCCATAGACATCTGATGGTGACAAACTATTTCACTCACTTTTCACACTCTTTGTCCTGTCCCACAGTGATCTCGCAGCCAGGCAGGATTTTGGCAGCGAGGATGGGGGAGATGCAGCACATGCCCAGCGGCTTTCCCGCTTTGTGGAAGGCCTTGATGATCTTCTCCAGCTGTGGCTGGATGGTGCAGTCCTTATTCTTCACTGCCCAGTCACTCAGGTTCTTAGCCACACCGAAGCCACCTGAATAAAAACACACAGTGCGTATTACAAAAGTGAAGATGAGAGAATTGTAAAATATTTTACTTTATGGTGTTTATTTACGGTGATGATAGTCTCACCTGGGATGATGGCCGCATCAAATGCTGTAACATCTAACTTGGCCAGATCAGTCACGTCACCCCTGGCGATACGGGCACTTTCCTGCAGGATGTTTCTTTTCTCCTCTGTAGGCTTCCCCTCACAGTGATTTACAACGTGCATCTGATCTGCATTCGGGGCAAACATCTGCACCTGAAATGAAACACTGACATGTAAAAAACTTCTATATCAGATCTTTTTAGAGTTGTTATTAAAGCCGACTGGATCTCAGTGATTCAGCATTATGACAGTGCTATCTTATTTGTAAACAAAGGGAAGTAAACATTGAATTGAAAGCTGCAAAGTCTGAGCACAAAGAATTTTAAATGGGGCTAGAGAAAATCATGCGTGTTTGACAAATAAATGCATTTTGATATGTTTGATATGACATTTTGTCTTCTTCTCCTGCAGTGGTGCTCTTACTTTTGCTCCAGCACGACTCAGGTGGACGAGGACAGCGGAGGCCTCGTGGATCTCTGTGCCATCATAGACGCCACAGCCTGAGAGAATAACTGCAACACGCTTCACCATGATTCCTGTAAACAAACAAGCAAAGCACATACTGTATGTCTAATGTAAAGTCTAAGGATTTAGACTGTTCAGACTACATGATTTGTGGACATGAAATGTTGGTCCCCTATTCATTTCCCTACCAGCTAGGAGGAACCAATTTCAATATCTGAGCATTTTGCATGTTTAAATAAAACAATTACAGAGCTAGATGAGAGAGGCCACCAGTAAAGAGAAGTTACAGGAACTGGTTTGAGCCTCTGATGGAATAAATACACGCAGCACTTGAATATGTATGATACAATTATTTAGCATTTCACCCTTTCCCTTGTGCATTTTCCAGTGCTACTTTTATAACATTACTGGATAAAGTTAAAGTTGTTAATAAAGTATTACATATAAAGCAGTGGTTGAATCATAGCAGAAGTAAAGATAGTGTAGATATAGTAGCTCTCACCTTGTATATGCAGGTAGCCAGGAAGTTGTGTTAAGTCGAGCTGCTCAGTAGAGGTGTGCCGGCTGAACTCTGAAGTAGACTCTTTATAGTCCTGCCTGCCTCTCCTGTCTCCTCCCACACCAACCTGCTGTCCAAAATGCTGACATCATGAAGTACAACAGAACCAGTTTTGGCAGTGAAATGCTGAATCTTTCTTCCCAGCTCCTTCTGTTTTAAATGCAAAAAATTCAAATGAAAACTTCAGAGCTCTGTAAATTAAAACTGTAAAAGTTACATAAAGCTCATTTCTGTTTCACATTTACAAAGCTATATATATGAATTAGATGAGTTAAATTAGAAATATAGTACTTACAGGATCCCCCCCCCCCCCCCCCCCCGGGCTAAATGCTGTTTCCTCTCTTGCGTGATGACGTCAGACGCCGCTGTATAAACGCAACCCTACGATCAGAAATTCACTCTTACTATGGCTCAACTCGACTCTCTGCATGCCTCTGTAGGCATACTGGGCATCTCTGGCGGTAAGATTTTGTTTTGTTTTTTTTTTTCCTTTTACAAACTTCGTTTACGAGGCTGTTATTATTTTAACAACTGCAACTCCACACCTTTTCACGTCTGAAAATCATTATATCGGTTGTCTTGTTGGCGGTATTTTTAAATCAGACATTGTTCGGCAATGCAGGTTAATATGTAATAATATAGTAAAATCTTGATTTGGTATGAAAAATAGAAATTGTAAGGATTTTGTGCAATTTTTTAGGATATAGACAATAAGACTAAAACCTCTGCTGGCCACTAACAAGAAACATAAAACTGACATTGTTGCCCACTGTTAATAATAGAAACAAATAGTATTATAGTAAGTTATAGTAAGATATACTGTCAAATAAGGAAGTGCTGGAGTTATTTAATTATTAAGGTGATAACTACATACAATATGGAATCAGTTTCAGTTAATCCTACTTTCAGGCAGACTTGCTGTGGCAGGAAGCAAAATCTCTATTTGCTTCTTTTGTAACTTTTGTAGCAATGGCTTTTGTTATAACTTGTAGGTTCTCTCCTGCTTTTGGTGAACGACTATGGCAGCTCTCCTGAAAGAGAGCTCATCCCCTACACTGCACTGGGGATTCTGCTCCTCATCATTGCAGCCCTCTTAGCTTATGCAGGTTGGTTTTGATGACTGAATATCACAAGTTTTATTTCATTTGTTGATTTGTGCTGTTAGTTGTTTTGTTCTAGTTTAAAAATTGTAATCCTCTCCCTGGTCTCTCTCCTCTGTTTACTCTCTGTCTCTTAGGTATCTGCCGCAGTCTGTCCTACGCCCAGCTGTTTTCGTCTGTGTGTCTGACTGTCTCCGCCCTGTGGTGTGGTTCAGGTCTGGTGTACATCCTGGTGGGGCAGGGAGTGCTGCAGCCCACAGACCTGAGATCCTCTCTGATCCCTGGTCTGGCAGCTTTCACTTTAGCTCTGCTCATCATCGGCAGTGTTGCACTCATAGTAAAGAAAGCAGTTCTGGCTGTCATAGCTATTGGCATTAGCCTAGCATGTGCCCATCAAATCGCCGGTCTGGCAGCTGCAGGTTTTGGTCAGTCTGCCACAGCTGCTAACTACCTTGTCGTCTGTCTGGTTGGTGTTTACTTTGGTGTTGGGCGTCTGCTGTCCATCATCACTCATGGCAAAGTGGAACCTCCAGGAACAGGCCTGAAGAGAAAAGCTGAGCTGAAAACAGAGCAGAACCAGGGGTGTAGCGATGCTGTGTCAGTGGGTTTGGTGATGAACTTGCTGTCTGCCTCTGTGTTAGCCTGTCCTCTGTTAGGTGTGGTCCCCCGGCTCTTCACTGGTCATGTCCCCTGGCTGTGGACAGCTGGAGTCTACCAGCTCGGCATGTGTGTCCTCTTTTATCGAGCCATGGACACACTAGTTGCCACGTTTTATGGCTTCACTGCTCTGTTGAGATTTGCAGAAGGTTACAGCGCTCTCTTATCGTTCTACTCAATCCAGCCTTTCTCCCCTGTTCCCTTCCCTGTCGTCTTTTCTGTGCTGTTCTTCGTCTTGGCTCTGTTCAGTTGTCAGAAAAGCTTGCTGGAGGGACTCTACCAATTATTCTTTGTTGCCTATTGTATTGCCATTGCAGCCCAGCCGCAAGGCTTCTTCCAAGGAGGCACTCAGGGTGTACAGGCAGCTATATTTGTGGTCTCTGCCTGCATGCTTTTAATTACCACTTTCAATATGGTCTCCAGTACCATGATTCCCACAGGGCAGGGCTATTTCAAGGCTTTAGTAACCAGGATGCAGAGATTTACCCTCAGAGCACATGATAAAGAACTGCATACACCTCACCTGGGTTACTCCAAATATGCAGATGCTGAGGTGTTAGGCCACGCTTGCAATGTATTGGCTGCTTTTGCTGTCACAGCCACAATTGGTGACAGAAATCCTCTTTATGTGCTGGTTCTGCCCTGGGTTGTGGTGGCTGGTGGGGCGCTCCAGCTGCTCTGTGGCTCAGTTGCATTCGCTCGGGGTAAAACCTTTGAGAGTGCAGTTTTTATGGTCTATGGCATGATGTGGACAGTGTGGGGGTTGACACGATACGGCGGCCTGTACGGTGAAACCAGAGGCTTCAATGTTTCTGTCGGGATCATTACCTTCATGCTGTTTAACATTTTAGTGACAGCTGCGGCGCTCTTTCTAAATATCGCCTGGTTTGTCTACTCCTTCACCTTCCAGCTCATCCTCATTAGCTTCCTGCTGGATGCAGTGGGTGCTCTGCCTTTTGGTTATGACATAGGAGTCACCATCATCTTTGGTCTCGTCAGTTTCTATTGTTTCCTGGGCCACCTTTTCAACAGCACCTTCCAGTCCCCCCAGATCCCCTTTGGGAAACCTTTCCTCAAGCTGAGAGGTGTTGGGGGAGGCGCCAATGTCTGTCCACATGTACCAGCCCGAAAGGCCACATCTGTCCAGCAGATTGCAGGTGAGATATAAAAGACAACAATGATGATTTCTAAAATAAACATTTGTTTATGTATGTGATGTGAGATTTTTGTCTTCTCTTCTGCAGAAATCATGAAAAACGGCGGCATATGTGGAATGCCTACTGACACCGTCTATGTCCTGGTGGCAGCTTGCAACAGGCCTGACGCAGTTGTTAAAGCTTACAAGTGAGTTTCTGTTTCCATGAACATGCCCTTATCTGCATTCATTAATTGTTCCACTCTCATTATTCTCTAATTGTTGTGTTTGACATCAGGGTGAAGAAGCAGGCGCAGGACAGACCCATGTCCATGTGGATCTCCTCCATCAAGCAGCTGGAGCCAGTGCGACACCTAATGAGCCCTCTGCTGCTGGACTTCATGCAGGCTGCGTGGCCCTCCTCCATTAGCATGGTTATACTCAGAGGTATGTGTGCGTTTGTGGATGTTTGCTTATTTGAATGTGTAATATTGTGTGTGTGTGTGTGTGTGTGTCTGTGTGTGTGTGTATGTGTGTGTGTGTGTGTGTGTTTATCTTTGCCTATGTGGGTGCCTTATGCTGCATGGTAGGTGTATTTTGAACATCACATTGGTTTCTTGTCTCACACAGGTCCATGGATGGACACTTTTGGTCTGGGAGATGCTGCCAAACACATAGGGACTCCACAAAGCATAGCTATCAGAAACCCAGACTGTGCTGTGGCCACCCACCTCATTAATCTGGTAAGTGTATGAGAAACACTGCGGGTCTGTGAGTGAAACTTGTTAGCAGAGCTTGTAGTGAATACAACTACCTCTTATTTCTGCAGGTGGGGCCCATCGCAGTAACCTCAGCTAACCCTACAGGCGAGGCAGACACAACTCACCACAACCAAGTTTATGCCAAACTGGGAGACAAGGTAATGACAATGATTTACTCTTGTTAAATACAAGAGGTACTTCTGTTTTGGTTTTTTTTGCAGTAAACTCTTTGTGCATTTTGCTTGGTAGGTGGATGGTGTTCTATGTGATGGCCCCTCCCCAGAGAACATTGCATCTACTGTGGTCGACTGCACTAAGATTGACACGGGACACATTGGTTTCTTTAGAGTGGGTCTCATTCCGAAATCCAAGGTAATATAAACATATTGTTCTGTTCATTCTGAGTACAGAGTTTAATGTATGCTCACACTAATGCTGTCTGCCCTTGTTTGCCTGCTGGGAAGGTTCTTCAGATCTTTGAAGAGGTTCAGAGGAGACACAGACAGGGGCAGACCAATCCAGCTTTTGAGCCTGATCTGCATCTACCAGACACACTACAGGACCTGAGGTCAGCAGAGGACAACACAACAGAGTCAGGAAGAGGAAGTGGAAGCTCAACACCAGCCACACTTTCACCTGAACAAAGCCCAGTCCTCAGAAATGGGTCATAGGATCAATGCACTGCTTAAAAGTGCTGCCACCTGCGTCATGAATATTATACTGTAATCTGATAAACACTGATGTGTTATCAAGTGTGTCTCTTTATCTGTGTGGTTTGTAGAGCAAACTCTATTAAGTGTTATTCTAATGCACTATCATTTGTTATGTGAATGTAATGTATATATAAAGTACTTTTTGTTTGTGTTGTGACTGTGGTGTTGAGTCGATAATAATAACATAAGTGCTGTGTGGGAACTTCCAGGATACTGTATTAAAATACACTACTTAAATACTCGTAAACTATACATAATAATAAACTATATAATTTAATGACATTAAAGTCATTTAAAGACAGGCACACCTACACTGCCATATCAGCTTCTGTCATGAAATTAAACAAATTGTCTGTTGCACTTTGATCATTTTACGTCATATTTTATCTTTTTTATTTAATAGCTGTTGATGATTGAACATGTGAACATTTTAATAAAAAACATTCACTAAGACTCAAGGATGAACTGAGTAGAATTTAGTGGTCATAGCAGGTCAAGGTCATGGTGACCTCAAAAAACACGGTTTGGGCCTTGTGAATGCAATATCTCCATAACACACAAATTTCTTCAAATTTGGTAAAAATGTGCACCTGGCCAACTGGTACTTCCTGATTGTTGTACAGTGACAAACCACACATAGATTTTTCCTTATTGTTACTAATTCGTTTTTTTTGCCACTGTGGAGGTGACGTTTGAGGACAATAATCCTTTCTCTTAGTTCAATAATTTCATGATTAAAATTACATACGATGTGACTGGAGACTGTCATACAAACCGTCATACATCATATCACCATTTTAATCTTTTGTTTTAATACGTATTCAACAGTGTGTTTTAGTCTTATCTTTTCTATGAATCCTTCCTTCCTGTCCATGAGTCTTTGTCTGTGTTATTCCACAACTATTGAGGTGATGTTTGAGGATGATTATCCTGTTTGATTATCAATAAGCTTTTGAATTAATTTACAAATTCTGTAACTGGATCTTGTATTCATTCATTCATTCAAACAAAAGCATATAAAAGATAGATAAATAGAAAAAAAATTCTTGACCACCCATTAGAATCTGTGATCTGTATTTCAGTATATTTCCACTGCAAAGGTTTTCTTCAGACTTTATTGCATGTTGAATTCTTAGCATAGTATTTAGATAGGTTGACATTTTGATAGCTGTGCTTTGGCTGTTCTGAAATTTATGGATTTCACTTCTGTTCCAAGTTATTATTTCATTTCAACTGTGACAAATCGTTTGGCTTGGATATTCTGTAATTATAATCATAAATTCTCATCATTTCTCTGTCTTCTGAATTAGTGGTACACACCTTAACGTTATGTCATGACAACAGCGTACCATGTTTGGCCCATTTGAATCTGTGATCTGATCAGGTATTTAAGTGTATTTCCACTGCAAAGGATTTCATCAAACTTTATTGCATGTTGAATTCTTAGCATAGTGAATTAAATCAGGTTTCATTATCATTTCTCTATGTTCTCAATTAGTGGTACACACCTTAACGTTATGTCATGATAATGAAACAGTTTCCTCTTGGTTGAGTTCAATGCACTTCTGTTCCAAGTTATTATCTTTATTGAACTGTGAATAATCATTTGGCTTATTCTAAAGAGGAGTATTGTTCTGTCCCTATTAGTCAGTTTCTATTTGTGTGTGATTTTCTTGGTTTGCAGCATTCCTTCTTCTGGGTGTGCATGTCATTTTGCGTGGAACATTTGAGTATTTGCTGTGATGTTCACTTGTATTCACTAAACAAAGAACATTCCAGAGAGTTGTGCCAGCGTGTCTTTGATACACATTTCCAAATGATACAGCAAGATAAAATCTACTACAGTGACATACCACACGTAGATTTTTCCTTACTGTTACTTATTGTAACAATAAGAAATTAGTAACAATTGTTACTAATTTGTTTTTTTGCCACTGTGGAGGTGACGTTTGAGGACAATAATCCTTTCTCTTAGTTCAATAATTTCATGATTAAAATTACATACGATGTGACTGGAGACTGTCATACAAACCGTCATACATCATATCACCATTTTAATCTTTTGTTTTAATACGTATTCAACAGTGTGTTTTAGTCTTATCTTTTCTATGAATCCTTCCTTCCTGTCCATGAGTCTTTCATTAAGTTTCTGTTTCCTTTCAACTGCTCATTGTATTTTGCTCATCACAAGACTATTTGTATTGTGCAAGGAAATTGCTATGGATAGTTTTTTCAGTGTGTCACTGCAGATCTCATATTTAAAAGATCCTTTCTCATAAGTAGAAGACAGGACATCGTGATTATGAGAATTGGTGACAAAGTGTTTTTTCTTCGTTGAGTGACAAGAATGTCATCTCTTCTGATGAAGGTTCACTGTGATGCTCACTTGTGTTTATGAAAGCAAATTCCAAAAAGAGTTGTTTCAATGTGTACATGCACAATACATATTTCCAAATGACAAGATGATAAAATCTACACTGGAGAACCATACGGAAACTAAAATCACAAGGATAGTTTTTTCAGTGTGTGATTGACTTCCGTTATGTAAAATATGCTGCAATGAAAAACAAAATTCTGGTACTTCCTGATTGTTACGTGAAACTGTGTTTTTCCACCACTATTTAGGTGATGTTTGATAATGATCATCCTTTTTCGATTATCAGTAAGATTATGATTTCATTTACAAAATTTGTACCTGTAGATATTTCATTTGTTAATTAAAACAAAATCATATAAATTAAATAGAAAAAATGAAACATCAAGACAAAGTCTTGACTATCAGGAAAGTTCTGATAATTACACAATCTAGACCTCATGGTCAGGAAAATGTTCCATAAATAGAAGATAACACATGGTACAGTGTATTGTTTGGCCCATTTGAATCTGTGATCTGATCAGGTATTTAAGTGTATTTCCACTGCAAAGGATTTCATCAAACTTTATTGCATGTTGAATTCTTAGCATAGTGAATTAAATCAGGTTTCATTATCATTTCTCTATGTTCTCAATTAGTGGTACACACCTTAACGTTATGTCATGATAATGAAACAGTTTCCTCTTGGTTGAGTTCAATGCACTTCTGTTCCAAGTTATTATCTTTATTGAACTGTGAATAATCATTTGGCTTATTCTAAAGAGGAGTATTGTTCTGTCCCTATTAGTCAGTTTCTATTTGTGTGTGATTTTCTTGGTTTGCAGCATTCCTTCTTCTGGGTGTGCATGTCATTTTGCGTGGAACATTTGAGTATTTGCTGTGATGTTCACTTGTATTCACTAAACAAAGAACATTCCAGAGAGTTGTGCCAGCGTGTCTTTGACACACATTTCCAAATAATACATTTCCTGATTGTTGTAGTGACAAACCACACGTAGATTTTTCCTTATTGTTACTTAATCCTTTGTTTTTCTGCCACTGTGTCTTACGACAATAATTTCATTTCATTTTAATTTTCTGTGACTCTTTAAACCAAAACACATAAAAAGGTCAAACATTAAGAGAAACTTGAATGAGCTCCAACTACTGAAATGTCACATAAACAATGATATAGTGTTGTTCTGTTTTCTTATTACAATAATTTCATCATTCAACTTGCAAATACTGTGACTGGACATATGACAATTTACCATTCGTTAAAATGAAAAGACACATAAAAAACATCTCAAATATTAAGAAAGATCCAACTACACACTAGTTTTAAGTTTGTTCATCTTAGGAACATAAGTTCCCCTGCTGCCTTAAAAATGTAAGTTAAATGAACTCCGGTTGACTTTATGAATGAAGTTAAATTGTTAGTTTTATGAGTTTTGAATATGTAAAACAAATGGAGTTGTTCACTGAACTTGAGAATGTTTTTCAGTATTGCTAATTAGGTGCAAATTAGAATGGATTTGAGCTGAAACTTTCAAAAGTGAAAAAACAGGTGTTTTCTTGGTATGACAGAATTTGTATTTGTATTCTAATTATTATCAAAGAAGCCCTCACGATGACGCGATAATTCTTTCACAATCATATCATTTCTTAAATAAAAGGGATGGTGCATCATGATTCCAAGAAAGTGCGTTTGTTTTTTTCTTTGTTGACTTTATTGGATTCCATACAAGTTATTATTTCAATTATAATGACATGACTAATTCTCTAGAGCTGTGGGAGACAAAGAACTCCATTGTTCTCTTTCAGTCAGTCACTTAGAATTATAACTGCGTGTGTTTTTCTTGGCTTGCAATATTCCTTCTTCAAAACGTGCATAACATTTTGTATGGGAAATTAGCGTGGCAACCCAGCGTGGGTTCTCTCTGGGTGTTCTAGCTTCCTCCCTCAGACCAAAGACGTGCAGGTTAGGTTAATTGATGATGGGTGAATTGCCTGTAGGTGTGAATGAATGCTTGTCTGTCCCTACATGTCAGCCCTTGACTGCCCTTGGCTTTTTTTCCACAGCAGCAAAATCAATGAAAACTAATTTTCTCCATTTCTGTCAAACTTAAAATGTTTGTCAAGTGTTTGTCAGCTACCACCAAATTCATGTCACCACCTCACCCCTTCTTGCTAAGTTTTCTTATTTTAGTCCAATGTAGAAAAAGCAGGGTTTAGTCCAACTTTGGAGATTAAGACAGTCTAAGTTCAGTATAATTATCTTATCTCTTAGTAACAAGATCCAAGTTATTATTCCAATTATAATAATTTAATTAATTGTTTGGCTTGCATAATCCCTAGAGATGTGGAAAACATCTCATCTCACATGAATTGTTCTCTTCTTCTCAGTCAGGACTATATCTTTGTTCCTATGTGTGATTTTCTTGTCTTGCAGCATTCCTCCTTCTAGATGTACAGTACATTTTGACTGAAAATTTTGAGAGTTCGCTTGTATTCATTAGGCAAAGGCAAAGAGAGTGGTTTCACTGTGCCTTTGATAGGCATTTCCACATGACACATCAGTACAGAATCTACAACTCTGACAAACCACACAGGTTTTACACTAGTGTTACATAATCATTTGTCTTTTCATCACTTCTGAGGTGATGTCTGAGGACAGTACACCTTTTTCTTATTTCAGTCATTTCATTATTTAATTTACAAAAACTTTCACTCTAGATACATTTATCTTTAGACAAAAACCCATAAAAGGTCAAACATTAAGAGAAATGAGCTCCAACTACAGTAATGTTGCAAACACCAAAGCAAACGAAATGAGTGTTGCTCTGTTGTGTGGGTTTTGACTTCACAGTACATAATTAATATAATTTCCTGCTGCAAGTTTCCTACGTTTATTTGTAAGTAAAGAGATTTCTGTTCTTGGCTGGAGTTGTCAGCGTTTAGAACCAAAAGTGCAGCCACATAGGGAAACACAAAGAACAGTTTAAGGCAATTTATTGTAACAAAGTCATGTAGCATGGCTTCAATGGCATTGCTGTCGTGGTGCTGGGGTTTGGATATGGCAGAGGGGCTGGGAATGGCCAAGTTCAAGTGCTATTGTCATGTACATTTAATAAGTACAGTTATACATTCAAATACAATGATGTGCATCTGCTCTGACTCTCTATGCCCCTAAAAATATGTATAAATAAATGAGAACAAATAAAAAAAAAACAACTATTAACACAATATACTAATATACTAATCACAGTTTCATGTAAGGTGCATTTTGTTCTGTAATCTAACTGCCTGGGGTAAAAACTGTCTTTGAGGCACTTGATAAGCTCTAATGCTCTGTAGGTGTTTTCCTGGAGGAAGGAATGTGAACCGACCATGTAGGTGGCTGGAATCTTTCATAATAGAGTGATGATAGAGAGGATGATGTTTTGTCACCTGGATGTTAGCACCACCCTGGTTCCCTCAACAAAAAGCCTATCGGACTTTTACATGGGGTTTTGGATTAGTGCGCAAAATAAGCTCTGTTACAAACAAAAGTTGATGATATTTACACGTTTTGTTCGGCAGGACAATCTTCACAAATGAACATCACTTTTATGACTTTTGAAGCCCAAATACAATTGCTAGAAGTAAAAAGCTAATAGGCTATAAACAAGCAACATCATCATCACATGACTTCAACGTCACCACTGCTAAACTTCCTATTTGTTGTTTGATTTAGCACGCTTACCTCTTCTGGTGAGTAGATGATCATGTTTAACATCCCTGACCCTGACCTCTGTAGTCTCATTTAGTCACTTGTTAGCAACCGCCTTTTTGAAGAGATCAGGACCAGTGTATTTACTGACGTACTTTCTGTCGTAGAATAAAACATGAAAATGTCTTGAGCTTGTGTTGACCACAGACCTTATTTCAGCCATATCTGAAACCCAGTGACTTCTGGAAGTGCTAAAATGCTAACTAATTTCCAAGTGGTAGCACCCATTTCTGCAGCTCTCTATACCTAGGGCCTTACTTCTACAGAGGGAGATGATGTCTTGAATCTGTGGCAGTGATATTCCTATAGCAGCTGTTTCAGTGTACTCATTCAGGTGCAGTGGGTTCCTAAAAGCCAACCAGTCTGTTAAATGAAAACAACCCAGTAAGCTTGTTGGCCTGCTGACCAGCACTGAACTGCCCTCAAGGGTTTCTCACTCTTAACTTTCTGCTTGTAAACAGGTAGCAAGAGCACGGATGAGTGGTCCGATTACCCAGAAGGAGGCCTTAAGATAGACCTGTATACTCTCTGGATAGTGAGGTATCACTAGTGCTGGCTCTCATAGCTGCTGATTGCGCTATACTGTTGGCTTGTGGTGGAATATCCACAGCAGTTAGCAGGATGGAGGGGAATTTATTTGGTAGATAAAATGGTTGAGTCGTGATTGTAAGGTGACAAACAGGACTGGGAGATTACCTCAACATCTGTGCACCACAAGTTGTACCCAGAGGCACCCACACAGTAATTCTCTTCTTCCGTACCTTTCCAGAGGAGATGTAGAAATCTCACTGTTGTCTTCTTTCTCTATGACTACCACAGGCTTGCACACTATCCATGCTGCTTAGGCTGCGGTCCAACAAGTGTTCATACTTCTCCACTAGATTATGACACACCACGAATTCTATTTTCTATTTTTATTTTCTCTATGCAGTGTGTCTGCCATGTCATGAGGTAACTATCTATTGTCTTGCCATCTTGGCATCTTATCTTATCTATGACAGATCTATGCACTGAGTTTCATTTCATATTCAATGACACATTCAGTCATCTTAACAGATTCATTATGCTTTTATGATACAAGTCAGAATGCACATTATTTAAATGTGGTTTATTTGTAGAGAAATGCAGCACATGAATGCACAATAAGCTTAAACAGAAATAGCAACAGGAGAGAACTTTGCATTACTTAATTTCTTTACATCTCAATTGTTTGTGAAAACACTTCATAATCTAGTGGAAAATGTATTTAATTTATTCTTCGATGCTTTGGTCGTATTACATGTCATGTGAAATATGTGATAATATAAAATTACAATAATGGGTTTTGAAGAAGAAGCAACATTGAATATTGTCATAGGCTAGTGATTTTATTGGAACACTTACACCAACAAAAAGGAAAGGTACAACCACCACTACATTAGATTTCACTGTATCCTCTTCATAGTTTTTTAAAGAAGCCTTTGGAAATGCAGGAGCAGAAGAAGGGGCTTAAAAAGTGAAGTATATGACGATCACACCATAGTGCTCTTCACTCTGTCAAAGATCTGTTGAACCTTTACTGCAGGAACACAGCCTTCCCTCACAATGGTGATGGTCCCTGTGGACAGAATAAGATAGACTTGAGTGACAAAGTGTTTGGTAGTAATAAAAAGAATAATAGTTTTAAGTGAGAAATTTGATTTTTTACCTTCATCAATCCTCAGGCAGTTGACCACAGTAGAAGCAACAACTTCATTTGAGTTCCCATCACACAGAACCCCTTGGATCTTGTGTCCCAGTCGACTGTGGCAAAAACATAAATAGTATTTCAGATTTTTTTTTGAATAGTTATTTTTAATAGGTAAGTAAAATTCAAATTCAATAGTGTACAACTGATGAGAGTGCATCCATCTTTTGAAAGGAACTCAACATCGAAGTTGGTAATACTCTGAAACATGGCCCGATGTGTAGTGGGTCAGCTGAATAACAGCTGACATGCATGAGGACTTGAGTGCAGCAAAGTTCTGTGAAAAGACGCTTACTTGATGACCATGCTGTGGTGGGTGCTGTCTGCCTCTCCACTGGGATTGGCTGAGGTAATGGCAAGGGGTCCAGTGATGTCACATAGGTGGCAGGTCACAGTGTGGTCAGGGACGCGGATCATGATGCTGTCCTTGGTGCCAACACGGTCATAAGCTGGTCCCACTCCTGCATAAGATCATTTAAAGGCCGAGGTGAATACTGGTAACTGTCATTTATTTATCTCAGACAAAGATGTTTAACTGTAGCTGCCAAGTTTACCTAGCCTCAATAGCCAGTCGCCTTTGCTGACAATGCAGCTGATGCCTCCAGGATACACGTTCCTCATGAACTCCCAGAGCAGAGGACTGAAGGGAGGCTTGGCTTCTACCAGCTGCTCCACGCTAGAGATGCAGATACAGATGGGCTTCTCTGCTGGTCTGTCCTGGAGCAGGTCACAGACAACAGGTTGATGAGTTTCACACAGTGTGGAAACTACATTTAATGATCTGTCCCATATTACACTTCAACCAACATCTTATTTTTCAATTCTTACTTTAATATTGTAGATTTTCTCTATAGCCTGGGGATTCTTGCAGGAGGCGGCCAGGGCGTAGACTGTGTCTGTGGGAATACCACAGACTCCACCTTCCTCCAGAAGGGCAGCGATCTTCAGGAGACCACTGGTGAGTCGTGAATTTGCCACTGGACAGGGCGTCTCTGGAGAGGATTCCCGTTTCATTTGTTTCTATGGGAGGCCATGGTACAAGCAAGGTATTCATCAAGCGAACAGACCAAAATAACAGAAAGAATACAACTCAACAGGAGTGTCTTCATTGCTTACCTTCATTAAGGGAGGGCCCATAGGTAGCAGTCTCTGTGAGAAGATGCAGTTGACCAGTGATGCCAGAGCTCCATATATACAAACTATTGAAACCAGAGCAAGCATGGCAACTGCGAAGAACAGGTTGTCACAATATTTTATTGAATACAAGGATATTTTTTAGAGAGAATGTAAATAGAAGACTACAGTTTTAAAATATTATGATTTACCCTTACTTTCTAGCCGGTAAGGCAGTCGCTGCAGGGTGGACAACAGGAAACAGACCAGAACAACCTCCATGATTGTTGTTAGAACCAGCAAAACCAGGTTCTTGTAGGCAGCTGATATGAACGGTGGAAGGAATTACAATTGGCTCAACTAGTAATAATAATAACTGACAAGAATAATCCTTAATTTTAAAAAACAATGTGGTTAACCTTACCTATCAGCATGAGGAAAGCATTAATGACCAGGAAAGCAATGACTCCTGTGTCAAGAAACGTTAGGATGCTTCTGTGGGAAATTGTAGCAGGTCACCTGCAAAAAAATTGTGATAAGAATATTTGGGGTAATTCAGTTGAACAAATCTCCATTAATCACATGTTTGTACCAACATACCTGCAAACCTAAACCAGGTCCAGGTTCCACAACTGCTACATAGAAGGACGAGATGACAGATCCAAAACGCCACCTCTGTACTTGCAGCCGGCTGACACTAGGTCTGGATGATGGCTCCAGAGATGAGGACCCAAGGGACAGTCAGATTGAGAAAGGAGGATTTGAAGCTTGAGACACGTGCCATGGACGGCTGAGAGGGCTGCAAACCCATTTGAAAGGTAGAACAGAGCATCTGAAGCCTGAAGCACCTCGTGGTCTCCCTGTCTGGAACCTGTTGCACTTGAAAGCTTTCTGTAGCTGTTCAGTGGAGAGGGCTGTGGGCCAACAGGGATGAGAGACTTCTCTGCTATTGTGTTGATGAGACGTGAGAAGGTACATACAGGGAGGCTGCAGTGAACAGGGAGCAAGCCACACCAAAGAAGATGTAGTAACTCGTGGAGAGGGATCTGGGGGATTGTTGAGACTTGTGAGCAGAGACAAAGAGCATGTTGTGGATCAGTTCCAGGACATCCATGTTCAAGCTTCCACACAGAGCACCAAGGCTGCTGCCACAAAAGAACCAGTCGCCCACCATCGCTTGCCTCGCCTGAGACCACTGTGCTCTCCTCATACGAATTACACAACAGATAGCACAAACTCATCCCAAGCCTTGATGAGCCAATATGTAGCATGAAGACCAAACTTAGTCGTGTGGTAGCAATCTTGGCGCAGATGGGCGTAGTAGCTTGAGAACAGCTGGGTGACTGAGATGATTGAGACCCATGTAGCTCCTAAGCCAAAGGACTTCATGTACCCAAAGCTGTAGAAAGCAAAGATAAAGGGGGCAATAGTGTCACAGAAGAAACCCAAGGCCATGGGCTCTGCATATTTTGTGTTTTTCTTCTTCTCTTGGCCAATGCTCTGGGCGCTTGCTGAGTTGGCGGTCCCTAGCAGGAGAACATTAAAGAGAGGGGTACCAAAGCCTTTGAGGACTAGACGCTGAGTCAGACCTTTGACGAGCAGTGCAGCCGAACCATAGATGGCAAAAAGTAGAATGAGCAACTCAAGAACCCCAGAGACCACAAGAGCCCAGGAGCTCGCTACTACAGCTACTGCTTCAAAAATTAAGGTGGCTGTGATGGCCCCAAAAACAAAAGGCATGATGTAGTTGACTGTGGCAGAGCAGAAGGCTAGGAGGAACGACAGAAGGATATAGGGGACCAGACCAGCAATCGCTGACTCTTTTATGGACAGAAATAAGTGGCAAGCCTCTGAGGTAGCATTCAGACAGGAGTTGTTCGTCACATTGGTGGACAAGGTAATGTTGTTCACCATTTGATCTGCTAGAGATACTGTTAAAGGAGTTTCATCAAAGGCACCAAAGTAGATTCGAGTGGCACCATAACTGCTCCAAAGAGCAGCATAGCCAATGAAGGCAGTGCCACTCAGATGATCATATTTTCTGAAGGAAAGCAGTCCAGCCACCAGTTGGCATATACCACCAATTAGGATGAGATGGACACCTGTAAAGATTGTTGTAAATTATATTTATATTACTTTATATTACTTTTTAAAATATTTTCAAGCACATTTACTACAGTTTTTACCTGCAAGGATGTTCTCCACTCCTACTGGTGCAATGCCAGTATGCGCTTCATTGAAGTTCTGCAGAAGTACGAGGAATGCACTGATCCCATTGGCTAAAATGCCCAACACTCCTGGTTCAGCATAGAAACTGGCTGGAAACCCATCTAATGCTGCCATAGTGTCTTTGTTGTCAAATGGATGTTTTGCTGAAACAGCTGGCAAAGAATGTAAAAATGTTTTTAAAAAATGTAATGACGAAGACAAGATATCTATGAATGAATTATAGCCTGTACTTCTTTAAAATGTAGTGAGTGGTGAATGATATAATGCAGTACAGATGCAATAATTTGCAAATGTATTGTGAGTACTGTAAGTAACATTCAGAAAGAGACTTTAATGTTTGTATTAGGAAATAACAACTTACAGCTTAGTGTCTCAGAAAAAAATTAGATAGCAACCAATGAAAAGGCTAATCACTGTAAACCTAATGACATAAGTAGGACCCCTAACTGATGATACCACACTAGACTAGACTGGACTAGCTGTGCTCTAGGGCACAGCTAATGGGGATTCTAACAAATAAACAAATAAACATTAATCTTACTGGGGTGCGAGCTGTAAACTAAAAGAAAATATGAACACAATTCAAAAAGAAAATTTGTCTGAGCTAGATGTTATTTGATAAGAGTCAAGGTCCAAGAGACAGAGAAGAGCTGTATTCAACTTTCCTGTTAAATGTCTTAAATACAGCAGCTGTCTGCATAAATAATCTTTTCTGTCATAGATAAGACACTGATGACAGGCAAGGACATTAAATTACAGTTAATAAGTTTTATATTTCTGCCCTGTGTATTCATCGTAATCTTAAAAATTATATTAATCAATAACCTTAAATCATAATATTGAAAGCACTTGTGCTTTTTACTTGAAAAGTGCTCTATTAAAAAAAATGAAAATAATAATAATAATAATAATTATTATTATTATTATTATTATTATTATTATTATTATTATTATTATTATTATTATTGTAAATAATCAAAATGAAGCCTTACTTCGTCAAGATGCTTGCACAGATGTGACGTGTCCTGAAGCAGAGATGCAGGTTTGTCATAAATAAGGCTTACCTGGTTGTAGGAGGAGTTTAATGAAATAGTCCTGACCAGCCCACAGTGTTACCTCCTCTTCTGAAGATGGTGATGCTGATTATATTAATGATGAGTATGATGGAAATTCCACCCTTGAAACTGTGTGACAGCTCTTCCTTGTTCCATTAGGTAAACGAAAGTTACTGTCAAGTCTTTATAAGGCATGCACCTTCCAACTCAGAAACAGCATCATTCACAACTTCTTCATCACTAGAGAAAAAGGAGGAGACACCTGGAAGAGAAGAGAAGTTTAAAGAAAGAAGAAAAACAGGAACGTGACAAAAACACTATACTGAAACCATGATGTCCAAACTGCAGGTAAATATTCTCATTATTTTTGCAGGTGTTTTTAATTAGATGAATTAGACAAAATGAATAAAGAGGATAGGCGGGCATATTTAAACCATTTGACTTGACTGACTGCTGAAAGATTTAACACAAAATTTTAGATAATTAAATTTGCACCAAGGACTCACCAGTAACACACCTTTCAAAGACAGAGTGAGTGATATTATGGTAATGTCCACTACAGGTCTGATTTAAGTAATCTGAGGTAATGCAGTAAATGTATTTCTTAGTAGCTTTCAGGTGTATTCAACTGTCTATACTTGTTCCACAGAAAATCATTATGCCAGCATGGGCTGTCAGAGGACTGCATAATTCTGCAGTGGAAGGTAAACCAGCCTCACTACAATAGTTGGTTAATTAATCTTGACTTCCTGTCTTCTTACTATCTTTTTCCCCACTTCATTACAAATGAGGTAACTTGAATTTGCTTATGAAGATAGTAAGATGTAGATGAAAGCCTAGGAAAAAAGCTGGCAAGTAGACCTTGAGTTAGGCTCTTCAGACTTTTGGCTCTACTTAACCCTATTGTCCAAAAAGCAGTACAACCCTGCCACACAGACTGACATATTACGCTATTGGTTCAGGCTGTAACAAAATAATGTACTTTATTCTCAAACTCTATTAACTATCAAGCAAATGTATATTCTGTTGTTCAGCCACAGGACATTAAAGATGAATAATCTTCTAATAATCACTCCTGCATTCTTTTCTTCTTTCTTTACACATCATTCCTTCACCTCTGCAGTTTTGAAGTGCCGGGCCCCTGGGGACGCAGTCACAGCCAGCTTTGGGAAGTTCATCAGTGAAATAAAGCCCCAGCACTTGTCCTCCGTAGTCCTCCACCGCAGCAAAAGGATGGTGCTGGACAGCATTGGGGTTGGTGTGATTGGCAGCACGACAGACGTGTTTGAACTGGCCCTGCAGCACTGTCAGGTGAGGCGCAGGAGGGGAAGGGAAAAAAGGGATTAATGTGACAGATGAAAGCAAATGCCTATTTGAACAGTTGTCGTGGGTCAAATGCTGTACATTGATGGATGAGTTGAAATAAGATGAAAAAACACTAAGTTATTTTATGCTGAATTTAATTATGTAACTTGGACACAGGTTTTTGATTGACATATGACTCACAAATATCCAGCTTTCTTTAGCTGAAGGAGTCATGAGCTATTTTAAGTACAAATCTATTTTGAATGTACGTGTGTGAAAACTGAGGAACTGTGACTCATATTTTGTATAATACTCCCTGTGTTTACCTGTCTCTGTCTTTTCCCCTCAGCACATGTACACTTCTGATGACATCAGCTCTGTATACGGACGCAGCGGCACCAGGCTCTCCCCGACACTGGCAGCTTTTGTCAATGGAGTGGCGGTGAGTATAAATAGGTGAAACAGATATGTTACCATTATCCGCAGTACACCAGACAATTTCAGGGGCACTAAATACTCAGCTATGGTACAATGTAGGCAGCCAACCACAGGAGGTGTTGATAAAAATACTGAATTGACCCCACATTACCTTTCTGCAGAAATTCAAATTTTTTATGCCTGCAAACATTGCTTGACCTCTGTCTCTAAAGAAGGCACATTAACTTCATACTGCACAGCAACATCATGTTCTTGCTATCAGCACACAAAAGTAATGAATAACCATTTCACTGTGTTTAGTTTAAACATATTTCTGTGCGCTATAATAGATATACAATTATTACAGTGCTAAAAAAGTTGTCTTCTCGCTTCAGACTCACTCCATGGACTTTGATGATACGTGGCACCCTGCCACTCATCCCTCGGGAGCAGTCCTTCCTGCTGTGTTAGCACTCAGTGACATGATGCCCGCTAACAGAAAACCTAGTGGCCTGGACTTCCTGCTGGCTTTCAATGTCGGCATTGAGATCCAGGGACGACTGATGAGGTTCTCTAATGAGGCCCACAACATCCCCAAGAGGTGAGCGCCTCATAGCGTGAGTCCTGTTGAAAATAGATACTGTAATTTATATAGGCTAATAACAGCAGGTGTTGTACTTTACCTAAGCGATCATTTAATGGATATAAAGCCAGTTCCTTGTTGAAGATCCACATGAGTCTGAAGAGATCCATATATGACTCTGCTGATCTCTGCAGTGTGGTTTAAAAGAAGGCCGGTGCAGTGTAATGCGCAGTCTCTTAGTGGTGTCAATGAGCTGTGAAAGGCGTGTTACTGGGACAGCAGAGGCTCTGTGGGTAGTGTTAGCACAAGACTCTATTTGTCAAGTGTTTACACCAAGTCAAATGACCCACCACTTTATTTGCTTGTTTTTCAAGTACTGAAATGACTAAAACCCAACTTCCTTTAAGATCCCTGAAATATGCCGTGTCTGTCTGTGGAGAGGAGAGTCACGTAAAAGAGAAGCTGTTTGTCCAAAGAGACACCTTTACACACAGGAGCTCTGCTCTAGCCATGATGGAGAATTCTCCTTTAGTCACAGGCCTGAATTCTTCCAAAAAAAAACTAACCAAAGTCTCTCTTCTCTCTTCTCTCTCATCACCAGGTTTCACCCTCCCAGTGTGGTAGGGACAATGGGAAGTGCAGCTGCCTGTGCTCGCCTCTTGTCCTTGGATCACTCCCAGTGCAGTCATGCCTTGGCCATAGCTGCTTCTCTATCTGGAGCCCCAATGGCTAACGCTGCCACTCAGTCTAAACCCCTTCACATTGGCAACGCATCACGTCTGGGGCTGGAAGCTGCCCTGCTGGCCTCCAGAGGCCTAGAGGCGAGCCCCCTGGTCCTGGACGCTGTCGCAGGCGTGGCCGGCTTCAGTGCTTTTTATGAAGACTACGTGCCACAGCCTTTAGAGTCACCCAGGGGTGACAGCCATATGTTCCTGCTAGAGGAGCAGGACATAGGCTTCAAGCGTTTCCCCGCCCATCTGGGGATGCACTGGGTGGCAGATGCTGCAGCCTCGGTCCATAAGCTTCTTGTGGGAGTTGGTCCTGGCACTGTCTCCCCAGCTCAAATCCAGGACATCCAGCTCAGAGTCCCCAAATCAAAGTACATCAACAGGCCTTTCCCTGAGTCAGAGCATGAGGCACGCCACTCCTTCCAGTTCAATGCTTGCAGCGCCCTCCTGGATGGCAAGGTGACTGTGCAGTCCTTCACACCCTCTGCCATGAGTCGCCCTGAGCTGCTCGATCTGCTGAGCCGTGTTCACATGGAGCATCCCCACGACAACCCGGCTAACTTCAACCGCATGTATGGCGAAGTCCAGGTGACACTTGCTGGAGGAGACATCCTGAAGGGGCGCTGTGACACCTTCTACGGCCACTGGCGCAACCCACTGACCAATGAGAGCCTGACGAAGAAGTTCAGAAACAACGCAGGGACGGTGCTTCCATCAGAGAAGGTTGAGAGGCTGATTGATGTGGTGGACGAGCTGGACAAACATGAGAACTGCACCTCCCTTCTCTCACAGCTGCAATAACATTTACAGACACACATATAACAGCAAAACAGAAAATATTATACATGAATGAAAATCAAGTAACCTTCAAACTTTAAGTAATAAAATATATTTATTTAAAGACACTGTACTTGTGGCATTACAGTAAATTACATTTAAAGATCATGACATCTTTGTGCACAGCGCTGAAAATATCATAACACTTTATCCTGACGCACTTGACGTGCATGGGCATCAGCTGTAGTCCCCTACCCTGTACACTATGATTACACAACGTTTTGATTATTTTATATTTTTCCAAATTTTTCCACTTGTCTCAATCCATTGTAAATATTTATGTTATGTACTCTATGCTATAATTATATGATTTGACTAGCTTCAATAAAATGTACAGCAACCAAGGTTTTTACAACCAGTGCTACAATGTTCAGATAGTTGTTAAGTACTCTTTATTATATTGCATAGTTCTTTCTGTATTTTCTGACAAACCATAATAAAAATGTCCTTATTTGAACACATTATTTGCATGTTTGTGGATGTATTTAAAAAAGAGCAGGTCAACTGCCAAAGATCATAATGAAATATGATTATATTACTGTAATTCACTTCTACTCAATGAGTACAATGAGAAGAAGACATTGTCTTCAATCTTGTGAAAGTAGTAAAAGACAATAGTAAAAGACAATAGAAGTCCTGGATGTAACCCCAGTTCTATTATTACATACTCTGCCCTCTAACAGACTTCCCCTCTGGTAATCACCAGAAGCAAAGGCCCTTAGGAATGTGATATACTCTCAGCTGGGCACGAATCCATGGATACAGCACGTGCATGTCAAATCTATGAATTTCATCCATTTGCATGGTTGGAAGCATTTCGGCAATTGCCTTACTGTTGGCATGCATAAACGGTTGTGTTGCAATGTGGCTGTTAAGTGTGTACATGTCCAATATCATCACCTGTCTGTAGCAGCGATGGTCTCCTCCCAGGAAGGAGGGAGTCTTCTCCTCTGATGCCATCATTTCACTGGGGTTGGCAAGGGAGGTATGCAAAATGCTTGGAGGAGGTAAGCGGCAGAACTGGAACACATATACACCAACGTCCTTCAATGGGAATGAGGGGATGACACGGTTATGTCCATGCCATATAGCAATCTGTAAGGAGATGCCCGGGGACATTGGTATTCAGAAAGGGCCCACCTGTTGCTTCCATTGCTGCGGGTGTAAGCAGAAAGGGTATCACTGCCAGAAAGGGCTGTTATGATGAGAGCACTAGCAGAGCTGCTTCCACAGTATTGGAAGGCGCACTCTCAGTGGAAACAGATGGTAGCCAAGCTTGGGCGAGCAGGCAATGGGCATGAGCTTGGCATCACTCAGTCCTCGCAGTTCACACTCGCATTGCCTTCTGACGAATGTGAAAACTCACCAGTAACTCTCAAAAAGTGAATTTCACCAGGAAATGGCCGTTCTGTCACTATTGCAGTGTTGTTATTGTTCTGTGTGCAACATAATCACCACCCTGCTAACACGTAAACACGGAAACAAGTTCCAGACCAAAGTTTTGATCCACATCTTTGTATTTACATGCTAACCATGATAAGAAAGGTGATAGCATGGTATGTCATTTGGAGCCTCCAAACAAAATACAAATACTTGGGATTTCTAAGTGTAGCAGTGTTTACATAGGCTTTTCAAATAACCAAATTAGCCATAAAATAGATAGCAAGTAGACAAGATAAGAAATGAATCTGGTGGATTAAGCAGGACTCATAAGCCTACACAAAAACATTGTTGGGACACAGCCTGCCTGTGCAAGTTGACAGCTTATATAGCACAACAGTCTGGCTTGGCCTTAAATGATCCAATAAATTCATTAGGCTCCAAAGTCTTTGTAAGTCCCTTCCTTCAAATGCCAGCAAGGAGGCAACTTAGTCTTCCTGTGACCATAGTTGCTCTGCTGTTGGACTTTAGTCTGTTGACTGTTCAGAACAGGCAGTTCACCAAGAAGCTTGTAAAGCAAATGTGATTAAAACATGAAGTAAACTGTTGATGTTGAGGAATATGTCTTTGTTACATATAAGACTTCAATTAGAGGCCGGTAAGTTACTCTCGTTCACCTTTCGTTTGATCAGTTGCCCACATTCTGTTATTTCCACGTGGCTAAACAAGGTCTGCACATGATTTTTCTTCATTACATCATCAGTAAGCCCAATGCGTTATCCCAAAATATAGCCTATAAGCCTTAGTTGTCATTGCCATTAAAGTCTCCAATTTGGTCCTGTGTGTCTGGGTCCTCCTTTCTTTTGCCACATCAGTAACTGTGTAACTGTATTCAAAACTATACCTACATTTTTGCACTCATGCGGCTCCTTGGGATTTGTACTGCACATTAGAATCACAATTTTTATTTTCTCCTTTCTCTGTGCTTTTCCAATTGTAATAGAGGAGTACGATAAATGCAACAAAAAATGCAAAATTCTGATTGTAACTCTCAATGAAGACATTAGGCTGTGGTTCTAACTCTTGCAGTTCTGGAGTTACTTCACTTCCTGTGCAGAGCAAGAGTGATAAATGGGCACAGAGACACCATCATGATATTATGAAGGAATTAGACTCCAACATTGTGAACACATATGCAAGCAAAGGTGCCGAATAATAGAGATTCGGTGCACAGTGCCTGATATGAAAACTAGACAATTTATATACAAATATGTATTTCATCCATTACAATGAAGAAAAGTTTCAGTTATTAATGTTTAATTATCTTTTGGCAAGAAGAGCATTTTCACACCATTTATCTCAACCCTCTGTTTTAACTATTAGAATCAGTTTAAATCCGAATTGAATCTTTGTTGGATCAAAATCTTTCAAGACTCTTTTCAAATTTAGTTTCATCACACATAGTGTACATGCAACCAGCAAATCCAAGGTGAGAAGCTATGTGATTAAGTTTTATTCTATTCAAACTGCAAACAATGACCTTTAAAAGTATAGAGTGTAAATAATTGTAAATTCAACTTTTGAGGGAGTGACATTGAATTCAGTAGTTTTCAGTAGTTAACACAGTAGTTATATTGCATGAAGTGTTAACCAGATGACCAACAAACAAACAAGTGTTTGCCGCACAATGCTTACTCATGTACTTACTCAGTCTTTTAACAGTCTTGTTTGTCTCTGTCTTGCGTTTTTTGAATGTCAAAAATATGTAGGTTTGACGATTTTTGCCATCACTGTCTCTGCATTAAACTCCACGGCAGCTTGTAGATTTACACCCAGCAAATCAGTACAGCTGTTGTAATATACAGCAAATTGGAAAATTGTGTTTGATTATTAAGTAACATTCATATTCACAAGCAATGGAAAATTGTTTTGTTTTGTTTTTCATTCAAATGGGCAAGTTATTCTGCAACAAGAACAAGGAAGAACCTTTTATTACTTTTTGGTTGCACAGAGAGAAAAATCCTCATAGGCCTCATAGCTTTGCTTATATAACTAAACTTTGTCAGGTGTTGACTTTTTCACCTTTCATGGTATTACAAAAAACAAAACAGCCCTTTTCCACACATAATTAAAATAGCAACTAATAGTCAGCAGAACTACACAGGAAATGTGTCTTTCCACAGCCAACCGATGTTATCTAGGCCAGTCTAAATTAGTGTTTGAACTACAGTCATTTTAGTCTCAAAGCCTCATAGCTGAAACAGTAATTGTGCAAAGTAGGCGTGACGGACAGAGTTGGTGCAGAGTTTGGATGTATTTTCATGTGTTCACAAATAAGGCCGAAGAGGTCTCAGGAAGATCCCTCTGATGTTGACTGGTTGTAGTTTGACACTTCAATGAGATTGTTGTCTGGATCTCTGAAGTACAGTGAGGTGATGGTCCCCACAGCCCCACTCCTCTGCACTGGACCCTCTTCTATCTTGACTCCACAATCCTGCAGAAGAGGAGAGAGAGCAGAAACTGAGACTGAATATTGCAGTGGCACCTAAACAAATGTGACATACAAAGTCGAATAGAGGTCAAGTGGTTTTAAAATGGTGCAGCCACCTTACAGGATTAAGACAGACATTAGTTATTCAAGACGGTCTGTAATATTGGCTGAAGTACCTTCAGATGTTCAGCTACTGTAGCCAGAGGGGTTTTGGTTATAAGGCACAGATCTGCAGATCCAGAGGTTGGATGCTTGGCTTTTGGCTCAAACTCCTGACCCAACTGGTGAAGGTTAAACTTCTGCTGCCCAAAACCCAGAGCCTTACGGTTTCCCTACATGATGCAGAAATGACATGCATGGGTGTTAAGAAGTGTTTGAATGTTCAAGGTCCCTCATGAGTGACTGAGTGGCTGACTTTTGATCAAAGCCTGCCATCTAGTGGATTCTCTCTTACACCAAAAGCACAAGAGTATTTCTTTTTTCTTGATCCCTGTATAAGTAATGCATCTGTATAATAATATTATTGTTTTATAAAATGCTCCTGAGCATTCATTTAAGCATTATTATATCATGGTTTATATTGCACACTGATATGGAGCATCTGGTCATGAGGCAGGCAGGCATCCTGACTTTCTATTGAAGCCTTACTGAGACAGAAGGACAATGATGAGAATTTTTTCAGACTTGGTAAATGTCCGACATCTGAACCTTTGTATTAAAAACTCAAGCTGTCATGTGTACATTGAGATGAAGCTACAGGTAAATTGATCTATTCTGGCTTGAGTTGTTAGGAAAAGTCCACATTTAATTTTAAGTCCATGTCTGGACATTTTCACTCTATGCAAATACCAGCTTTGAGAACCTCACTCATCAGTCAGTAATTAAATATAATCTGTAACAGACCAGTGGCTAATGGGTGTCAGGACAAAAGTAAATATCATTTTACATGAGTGGGAAAAGCAAAGGCAACTAGGCCTATATTTACACTATCTGCACATCTGATATTCTCAATAAATACATCTGAATGAATCGAATGAAGGAATACCTTGAAAGTGACAACCTCCATGCCAAGGACTGAGGTGTAAAAGTTGATGGTGTCTGGTACACTTTTCACAGTGATAACCAAATGGTCCAGATGGCTCACTTCAACTGGGCAGCTTCTTTTGAATCTGACATCCCCTCGTGTTTGAATGGAGACAATCTGAAAGACGTGAGAGGAATAAATGTATTTAATTGGGTTAATTGGTGTTGACGAATTTAACACAAGGGATAGCGATTTATTCCAGTGCCGACCGCGCCCCCTGGTGGTCTTTATGTACTGCATACTGAAAGCACCTGAAAGGACAGCGTAGTAACACCAGCAAAACATTTATGTAGCCGGGCAGCGATGTAGCAAACTAATAGACTGTATTTAGTCTACAAATGTAAGTTGAGAGTCAAATCAAATGAGCCCGTCCCTCAAATGGGTAATTCAGCTATTTGCAGTATTTCGAAACGGAAGTCTAAGCCTGTTTCAGTCCAGAGTAACTAAGGAAACAACCATAACAGATGCAGTGTTGGTGGTTCTCTAAGGTAGCAGATAATGATATAAATTACCTTGAAACAGTTCCTCTGAAAATGCGACAAACAACTCCCAACAGCCCGCAGCGCCATCCTCACTGTGGTTTGACACCGACACTTCCGTGTTGCTCCGCTGTGAACTGCTTTCTACCAGGCTTCACCAATGTCTGTACCTTTTCATATACAGTCTATGGTCTGTACCAGACAAAACTGACTGCATGTGGTTTGTTATACCCAGATCAAAAATAAAACTCCTTCAGGGCTGTGTGACTGTAGCATTAGTTTCAAAGTTCACGTACATTGAGGCATTTTTTGTCTGTCACCTAGAAATGAATGAGGATTTTGACAATTCCTGCCTGTAGGGGTGCTAACAACCATAACACGGTCAAATGCATATGTGATTACACATACACTCAGTGGCCACTGCATCATGTTCACCTGTGCAGCCTAATGACATCCAGAACAACCGTTCTGCCATTATAAGATGCATCTCGTGCAGTTTTTTTTGACAGTCAAAAAAAACTGTTTTAGCATTTAGGTCACAGTTAGTGATGGTGTTGTACTGGACTGTACAGTCTCAGTAATAAATATATAATTGAATTTATACATTTCTAATTGAAACCTGAAAAAAATACTCAGTGAGGTAGGCGTTATAGCAGAGATGCTGTATTGTTGGATACCTAATAAAGTGGGCACTGAGCGTATTTTATATTCGGTGATACAGACTATGAGTGAGTGAATGAGTGTGATCTAACAACACTGGTAGCAAGGGAACACAGACACATTTTCTACTTGCTCTTCACACCATCCCCATGCTCATCATCCAAAGTTGTTAGGATCAGCTTTAAAGGATCATATGATAAATGAAAAAAAAAGCCCAAATAAGAACTGGCAGGAAAGAAATATCAAAAAAACATTCACATCAAAGCTAAAAATGGAAATAAGAGCAAATTAAGATAAACTAGAAGTAAGAACCCCTAAGGTGTGCATTGGGATGCAGTATAAAATGATTAAACAGCACAGTCAGCATACAGAATGCATGACTGCAATGCATTTTGTAGCATAACAACTTTAATTCAGCGGTTAGTTTCATTTAACACCCAGTTAACATACTGCACTGGGTGGGTCACAGAACAAGGCCAAAACTAAAGCATGGCCTAAGAGGGAACATACATTTCATTTACATGTTTATGGTTTTCAACAATGACAACGTCTTGCATTCAAACTTGCCTAGAAGGGCAGTAATAACTGTGATAAAGACATCAAAACAGTGAAACAAGAAACATGACAGGATGGCATTAATAGCGATGCCCTTTTCTTCCCTCAGCCAGTGTTCCTGTTCATCAACAGTGCTATTAAAATCTACAGAACTTCTAAATAAAATAAAATGAACTTCAACACATTTTAAAACATAATAAGTCTTCATTTAAGATTTTAGCCATTAACAACAGTTTTTTTAAGAATAGCATACATTTATATCGTGGTTTGTATTGCCGTACTTTCACTTTTGCATGTATTGCACACTGATATGGAGCATCTGCTCGTGAGACAGAGAGAGAGCACAGTGGGTGGGCATCCTCACTTTCTTCTGGAGCCTTACTGAGGCAGAAGGACAATTATGTGAATTTTTTCAGACTTGGTTAATGTCCGACACTCGAACCTTTGGATTAATAACTTGTCTCTTGTATATTGAGGTGAGGTTGAGAAGGCCACATTCCAATTTAGTTTTTTTCTGGTCATTTCACTCTATGCCAATACCAGCTTAGAGAACCTAATTCATCAGTCAATTAATAAAGATGATCCATTATGTTAGTGGCAAAATTATGAATCAGACCACTAGCTAAAGGATGTTAGCACAAAATGATTGTGAAATCGTTCTACATTAAAAAGTAAATGTCCTTTTACATGTGAGGGGGAAAAAAAAGGCTTCTATATTTAAATGTCTGAAATGTCATGCCTGTTAGTATAGTATTTTCGAGGTGGGGAAATTCACATGCCAACAACTTGATCTCAGCTCCAAAATCTACTACCAATATTGAGACATCCCTAATTTCTGGTATGAATACTACTCAATCATTTTAATGATCAAGAAAATAAAGATGTCATGAGTCCAAAATAAACTTGTGCTTTGCAAAAGTAACCTTGCTGAATTTCTCTTTCCCTTATTACTGTACATCATTCTTTTTTTCAGCACACTGAGAATTCCCATGGTATATGCCACTCCAAAATAGTAGTTTGTTTCTTTCTTTCAGGTAAACAAAAAAGGAGAGTACAAGTCACACTGTAAATGGCAAACCAATTAATGTCCTACATCCTGTGGACATCACAATCTCTAATTCTGCTGTGTACACTGATACCACCTATTTGTTTAACACCAAATTTAGAGATGCTATGATAGAGTAACTGTGGCCAACACTACCCTAATGTTCATGACATCATTTACAGTCCAAAACCAATTCAATGATACAAATAGTATGATTCAAAATTATTTTTACAAGCTTATTTACAGCTAATACTTTGAATTGGTGTAACTAAGAATTGTACCAACACCCCACTTATAGTATATAAAGGCGCCATTGAGGAGCTAATACAAAAGAGGAGATTTGAAGTGCCTGAACTACCTGCAGGTGTGCAGTATTTATAACCCGGTGATTCTTTATTAGATACAGATCTGCTTGTGCACATGGCTTGACGCAGTGCAAAAAACTGCTTGGTCACTACAGGTTGATTTAAACAGCATGCATTGCTTGTGTCTAACTTTGGACTGCATTAATAAATGTCTTACTAGAGTGAATATGTCCCAATGTCACTGTATGGAGCACCCCATATCAAACCTGCAACTGCATTATGATCAAACTCACAAATGGTATGAAAGAAATACAATTCAACAGTGGAGACACATTTCCTCAAAAGCCTCTCATGGACTTGGAATATTAGATTTAGGTTGAGACAAAAGGCCTGCAGTCTGTAATGAACTACACCACACTTTCTCGATTGGCCGATACCAGGACAGCCCTGCGGCAGATGGGGCAAGTGGAGTTTTCAGACAGCCAGCGATCGATGCAGTGCACATGGTACTCATGAGAACAGGGCAGCTTACGCAGCTTGTTACCTTCTGCATACTCTGTTATGCAGACACTGCAAGTCTTCAAGGCATCACTCTCACCAAAGTTGCGCATGGAGAGGTTGTCAATCTGCTCTTTTGTCAGTCCTTGGGGCTGGTCTTCATCGTCATCATTTAGGAGGAAGAAGTGGGCGAGCCGTAGGAAGGGCAATGAGCTGGGCTCCTCTAGGCTGATAGGCGGTCTCGGTCGAGCTCTGCCACCAGAAGCAGGTGGAACAGTGGCAAGGCCCTCAACCGTATCAGTCTCAACTGTCCTTGCTCTGACTCCAGCAGCCACAGGTGGTTCATCAACATCAGCAGCAGGAGCAGCAGCAGGAGTAGCATCCGGGTTGTTGAGGGCTTCACCCAGATCTGAAGGTGTGTTGGCTCCACGGTTTGAATCTGAAGAATCAGAGTCTGAATCCATGAGGTAGCCAAGTTCACCAAAACCAGTCATAATCTGCCTAATCATAGATTGGAGAGCCATTGAGGTTGCCTCTCCTAAACCTGCATCAGAGATTCTTCGAATAGGGATGCGAATAGTGCTGACGTAGGTCCTCACACCAGCACGCTCAGAGCGTGAAAAAGTCCTACGAAATCCACCACGCTCACTCTCATAAAGAAATGTGTTGTTTGAGTTCTGGGAGCGCGAGCGGGTGCGGCTGGCAATGCTGTCTCTTTGCCGATATTCACCTGGACGCACACGTCGCACCTGGAGATCGAGCATAATAGTAGGGGGACGGCGCCCTGCTGCCCCCCCTTCTCCACCCCCTTCTCCCCCAGCAGCTTCTCCTTCCTGAGATTCAACATTTTGGGCCTCTGGGACCAATTCTGCAACAGCCCTAGGTGGCTGAACATCACTGTCAGCAGTGCTTTGCCTGGAAAGAACATGTTGTCGAGTCCGTGAACTGCCCTCCACTTGAGGCACAGGGGGCGCACTGGTGGCAGTGTTAGGGCCTTGAGAACTGTGAGCCTGACGTAGATTAGCAAGACCATCCAGCTGATCCAAGCTGAGAGGAGAGCGGCTCCTTGCTGTACGGGCCCTGGTCCTGCGTGGTTCTGGACTGCGGCTCCGGGCTCTCCTTTGTCCTCTGCGTGGAGAGGGAGAAAGTGGGGGTTGTACTGGGGGGGCAGCAGGCGAGCTGGGAGGTTCTCCTAAAATCTCTTGTGAAACAACCTCTTCTAGTTCTGGCTCTGGTTCCACTATGACAGCCAGCTCCTCTACAACTGGTTCTTCAACCACTTCTGTCTCCATGGGGACCTGCGGTTCAACATTTGCCCCCACTTCTTGACCCTCTGGAGACTCCTCTGGAGACTCCTGCTCCCCTTCAGCAGCCGCCTGCTGCTCAGCAAGGTTACGGTTCACACTGATTTCAAGGCTGAAGCGAAAATCGCCACTGTTTGGGTTGGTCTGGCTGACTGCCCGCCATGACTGGTTTCCACGATGACCAGTTCTGGTTGTGTTGCCTGTGCGCCTCACTGTGTTCAGCCAATCCAGGAGACTATCCCCACTGGCAGGATCCTCAGAGCTTTCTGGTTGTACTGAAAATCAGCAGAGTTAACAAGTGATAAATCATATCTGAATTTGACAGTGAAACGGTCAAAAAAGAAAAGAAATGGCAAACTTACCAACTGGATCTTCTCCAGTTTCAGCACTAGGTGTGTTATTCTGCTGTTCTGGACCATCTTTGATTTGCTGAAGTCTATTAAACAGTTCGTCCTCTGTTACCTCCCCTGCAAGAGTGATTACAAAATAGAACAAAAGTATGATATTAAAAAAAGAAAAAAAATACTTTTGGCAGTTATTACATTCCTTTCCTGAAGATTAAGTGTTTACTCCCTATTCAGAAGTCTGACCACCAGCATAAGAGGGGGAGAGACATTGCAGTTGGCTGGGAGGAATTGGCAGTTTAACTCGCAACAAGAACACAAGGTTAATGCACAGAAAGAGGAGACATTTGTAGAGAAGCACGCTGTTATAGCTACTTATCTGGCAGCTAGAGAACTAGTTCTAATTTCTGTGCGATATTGGCCCATAGATCTGTTTGGTTGTCTTTAAACACATCAACAGGACAATATTGAAAACATCCAGACTTACCAGGGCATGCCACTGTCCAATCAATGCCCTCTCCTTGCAGGGTACTTCACTAAAGGACGTTCCAAACTTACATTCCCCGTCCCACTGTCCTGGGACAGAAACGGATTGGGCGTCTT